CGAAGTTAACTATTTGGCCAATAACATCTACATAATAAATTTTAAGAAGAAATTAAATTCCACGTTAAATAGTTGCATACGCAAAAAAATACAGAAACTGAAGTAATCGTATGAATTGACTCACAAACTAAACGAGTGTTATCAAGCTTTCCATCAATAATATTACTGTAATCCACAAGATACTTATCTGGAACTTCACTTGGGAAGTCATAGGCTGGTCCAACAAAAGTAGTTTGAAAGAATCCAATTTTGTAGGGATGATCAGTGGTTCGATAATCACCCATAGCATCGTACAGTTTGAATAACTGGATGACCTTCGCATCGCCCTCTGTTAGTTTCCCTTCAAATTGTTTTATTAGCTGTTCACCAACTTGAGCATGAATTCTTGTCCCCTACACAGGCGTGATGAGAATCAGTTAAATATGTTGGATTGAGAGAAAAAATAACAAAAAAGACCGTGTAAATGGCTCAAGTAATGTACTTACTTCTTTATCGGAAAAAACCATTTCAATGGTGTTTCCGGAATCTCTGTTGTAGTTTCTCCATAAACGAAGAATCCTAACCTCAATACGCCATGTATCTTTACACGATCTCAATTGCCTGATAAAGGACAGGCGATTTTTGGTAGCTTGAACCATTGCCATAGAATATCTAAAAGAATAAAGTTACAGTGCTTATAAATTGTTTAGAAGTTTTGTTTGTCGTGTTAGATCCCAAAACCACCACCCTTATATAATAAAACCATGACTTCTCACGCAAGTTCGCATATTCCATATGCGTTTAGAAAAATATTTTCATAATAAATTCTAAACAATATAAAGAAAGATATTAAAATTATGTTCACTTAAAGCAACTTTCAATAAATATATTTGATATTTGCGCAAGTAATTCTTATTTTACATAAGATATGTTATTTGAAAATAAGGTAAGTTATTAATAACCATGTTAACTAATTAGAAACATTGTGTTATATAGATCTATTATATTTAAATAGATATAATAAGATCCATATGTAAGGTTTGTGGGTTTATGGGTTAATTGAGTTTTATGACGTAAACTAATAAGAAAAGCATGACGTTATGTGAAGTTTATATATTTTTTCAGGTACAAAAGACTTACGGGATCACTGCAGCGTCAATGAGTTCTTCATTGAGCTTTACCTACAAGACAAACCAACAGGAGATAAGCTCACATGTGACATGGAAGTGACATATCATACTTCCAACCAAAGCCATGACGTCTTAACTCGTGACTGTATTGGGATTTTGTGAAAATCAATGATAGCATCAGAGAAACTATGAAACATGAGAAATCAAAAAAAAGCTTACCCTTCCTTGATACTCTCGGCTTGTAGACACCATAGGAAGCTCCGCCATAGAATATCTAAAAGAAATAATTAGGATCCCATATCGAGAAAGTGGTTAGGATAAGATCACTGCCCAAGTAATTCTTACTTTCCAGGAGTGTTAGGATAATTGCATGGATAACACAACAAACACGGTTAACCATAAGGACCAAGCAGTACATTCCTCCAAACTCCTGACCCGATATATTTCTCCTGTCAAGTTTTTTGGAAGAATGATTAGGAATGATCAACTACTATCAACATATGATTGAACAGATTGCTTCCAAAAAAGTTAATTGCAGTAATGCTTACCCATAGACCATGACAGGAATGAGATCACCAGACTTTGCCACTATGGGATCAAAACACTCCTGGAAAGTATTCACAAAGTAAATTTGCAAGCCAGATAGTACTAAAAATGATTTGAATAGATTGTGGTCCAATAAAAGCGTGGGAATAGATTGTGGTCCACCGGAAACAGAACTCTGAAGAGCCGTGTGAATCCTACTGGAGTCACTATAATCACATTAAGTCAAGGCATACCCTGAATATAACAAAATCATATACAGAAAACAGAACAAACCTGGAAATTAAGCATTGATCATGAAGACAACATAATTTGTCTTCTCAGCAATATTCAAGTCTCTTCCCTACAATGGCAACCCAAGACAGCGTGAAGACATTGATCATGAAGACCCAATAATTTATCACTATGCTACCAAATCTATAACAAAGAACAACGATGCAGAGCAACCTCTATCATACTTCCAACCAAAGCCGTGACTGTCTTCAAAGTCGTGACTGTATTGGGACACTCAAGAGCAGAGAGAGCAGGTAACATAATATAACTATAAATTATTTTACAACATAGAGGAGACCCCCGCATAAAACCGAAGCACGAGCCACCTGATCAAAAGAAGACTCAGATGAATCACAAATAATCCAAAAAAAAACGAATTAGAAACTCCAAGAGGATTAAAGTCGTGGAGGTATCTCATTAAAGCGGTAGCATACCTCAGACTCACCTAACTAAAGCAATAAAGCTCAGAATCACACACAAAAAAAAAAAAAACGAATCAGAAAGAGAGAGAGAGAGAGAGAGAGAGAGAGAGAGAGAGAGAGAGAGAGAGATGAAATTACAAGAGCAAGGGAGCTACTGCCGGATTGAAGTCGTGAATGTATTCCATTGATTGGAGTCGTCGTATCATATCCAGGCAATACATGAAAAAACCCTAAGAAGATCCCCAAATCAAATATTGTATTGGTTTGGAGTGTTTGGAAACGTCGATAGTTTTGTTATGAAATTACTCTTCGCGCTGAATTAAAAAAAAAATTACCAAAAAATCAAGCAATAAGATTAAAAGAATTAATCCTAGAAGCCCTCTATGAGTGTCACGTGTTGAGAAATCACTAAAGTGACTTCTCTTTTAATGTATAAGGAGATTACCACATCATACCACTAATTTCTATTTATTTAAGTTAAAGAATCAAATTTTCCCTATATCTATGGGAACTAATACTTTCCATATTTTTGTCAAAGGTAATAATTATGATGTTTATGCCAATTATACTTGCCATTTAATTTGAATATATTTTTGTAAATAATAATATTAAAAGATCGAATATAGTTAGATAGATGAAGTTTTTTAAAAAACAATTTACTATGTATTTTTATACATAATATTAATATGGCAAGTTTGAGTGTTAAAAATAATTTAAAACTTATCATAAATTTTAAATTTTACATCTAAAATAAATAAAAATATAAAATAACATAGTTTATTAAAAACGGAAGGAAACTAATATTGTCATATTAGAAAATGTCTTTTTCTATTACCATTTTTTTGTTTTCTTCAAATAACATAATAAGAATTTCATCGAATTCTAAGGAATTAAAAAATCAATTTTATATAATATTAAAACAAGATTTATTTAATCCAAAACTTCAAAAGTATTATTAGATTTTTGGGTTTTTAGTGGATTAACCAATATCATATCGCAATTTTCAAAAATTTTACCGGATTACATCGAACTTTTAGTTAAAAAAAGATTGCATTAAATTCAAAATGGATTGTACACAAGTGTCTAGATCTATTGCTTCAACCATATATCTGAATCAAATATAAACACACTACTTAAAAATCAAACACTATAATAAAAGAATTTTTTGAAATACTAATAAAAAAAATTTAATTTAATTTTGAATAAAGTTATAGATTTAATCAAATTTTATTAGATGGAAAAATACATGCATTTTTAAAGCACGGTCAAAATCTAGTAATATTTTAAAACTTATTTATATTTCTTATCCATTAAAAAATTTGTAAGGATTTAATGAGAAATTCTTTTGGACAGCTGTTTTAGTTTCTTTTTTTTTCAAAAATAGACTTCAACGAAAAAAAATGACCAAAATAAGTTTTTATTAAAGGATAAATATGCATTTATACTCTTGGGCTAACTAATATACACTTAAAGTTTAGAGTTAAAGGGTGGGGTTTGAGTTTCTAATTTTAAAAAATAAAACATAAATATTGCAAATTTCAAAATAAAAAGGACTATTTTGATCATTTTATTTTTTAGGACTATTTTATGATAAAAACCTAAAAAGTGGTATTTCAAAGAATTTCTCTTTATTAATTAGTTTTAAGGGATTATAGATGGATTATAAAAATTTTAAACAATGCATGAGTGATACTAAACTCCTCGATTAATTTTTTAAGATTATAAATCCTCACCTTTCAACCGTTAACATCTATAATTCTCCATCACAGTATTTTAGATAGAGAGTGATAGATTTAACAAATTTAAGTTGAAATTTTCTTTCCTTGGATTGTTAGCTGCTTACTTTAATTGAAGACTTGTATTACTAAACATATTTTGAATAATTATCTAGGTATTTCTTGATACAAAATAATCAAGCCAGACCAGACTTAACAAATTTCTCGTTGTATATTCTAATTTTTCGAATATCCCTACCAAACCAAACCAAAAAAATATCTAAACCGTACCAAAAGAAAAGATAATCCCGACTGTAAATCCAACCTATCTTAACGGTACGGCTGGGACTTTTATCCGGAGTCCAGATTCGATTTGATATTCGCTTCGGATTCGCTCTGAAATTAGGATATCCTGGGATGTTCGGATCCAAATCCGGATAATAAAATTTCGGATCCGTCCAAACCGTATCCAGATCCAAATATCTTAATTTTAGGTCCGGATATCCAAATTCGGATTCCTATTTTAAAAATATATTTTTTATTTTATTTTATTATTAATTATATCTGTTATATTAATATTTATATATAAAATAAGTTTAACAATATTCTAGTTTTATATTAATAATATTATATGTCATATATATATTCATAAATTATGTTTAAATATTTAGTTTATGTATTATTTTAGAATTTTTGATTTTATTTCTAACTTTTTTTTAATTATTTTTACGGATCCGTATCCGAATTGAGGTATCCGCGGATATCACAAATATCTAGATGGATATCCGAATCCTAGATATCCGGAAGACACGAACCCAATTACTAAAATCATGGATCCGACGAATTCGGATGCGGATACTTCAAATTTCCCGGATATGCGAATCCGTCCCACCCCTACTTAACGGAAACGAACCGAGTTGTCAGACCTGCCCGTTCTTTCAACGTCCAAAGTTCATAGACTCAGCAGATAAACACTGATAAACCCTAATCCGGTGATGGATGGGTCAGATTTCTTTCAGGATGATTGTAACTCGATAGCTACAGAGATGAAGGGTGAAGAGGAGCGGATTCGACAGAAGAGAAGGTTATATGATTCTGGAATGATTAGATCTTGAACGAATTTCCCTATTTATTAGTTCTATCTTTTATAAAAATATAGGTGGCTGTTAGGTCTTGATACGCCTAAGCCTGAGAATCCGACTACTGAGTTTCTCGAATCTGAGGATCACACTCCAGGAAAGACTGAGTTTCTCGAATACGAGTGAGTTTGTTACTGATTTTATTTATTTCTGCTTGGATTATACAAATATTATGAGCTTCTTGTGTGCGTGTGTGTTTTTTTTTTAACAGATGCCTCCCTGAATCTTTGCTCAGGGAAGATGATGTAAAGTCTTCACAATCCCTCTCTCTCTCTCTCTCTTGATATTTTTCATCTTCAGCCTTTGGTGAATCTTCTTTTTCAGCTATTCTACGAGACAGCAAAATCGCGTGTTGAAGAAGCATTTGGAATCTGCAAAAACCAAGAGGCTCAACGAAAGGACTCCAAGTTCTGCAATAAAGACGTTGTTAGAAAACTTAGCATGTATCTTGATTCTTTGACGAATGAAGGTCTATCTCTCGTTGTAGAGATCATCACTGGAGGCTCTACTTCTTTTGACAAGACCCGGCCGAAAATGAAACAGATTATCAGAGAATCTGTCAAAAAGAGAAGAAGATACGACATTGTTGAGCTGTTGCATCAAGCTCTTAGTGATCCTGGAAACTTGCGGAAAGATTGCACCATGGATTCTGCAAAACCCATGTCTCATCGTGATGCTGCACTGAATGTACTTGATGAGCTAGATAAGTTGTCGACTCAGACTCTACTTGCAATGAAAGGGAAACTTGAAGGTTCAGTTACGATACCTCCTCGGTTGAAACCAAGTCAAATGGGTAAAAAGAAAATGCATCTGATAGACCAAGTGAAGCAAGCTAGCGAGAAGATGCTCTCAGAACTTTCCGCAGGGGAGAAATTGCAGGAGCCATTGGCTAAGGCGATGTCATTAGTAGATTTGTCTCTTAAGTTAAGTCCTGGCTACAACAAACCTAGAGCTCCTCCCACAGATTTTTTCCATTTCTCACCTGAAACAAAGACGCTACAAAACGAGATAGTGAAGGCAGTTTTGTTACTCCGTACGGCCAGGATTGATGCTGCGTTTGAAAGAGTGGGTCTTATCTTAGACCCCGAAGCCCAAGTATCAAATCACAGCTTAAGATCAGCGGTCGAGAGAATGCTGATTCACTATCTGTTTGAGTGCTGTGATATGGACGTCATTCCAAAGTCTTTGACTAACGCTCTTTCATTGGTCAACAACAAGACTACCCGGAGTTTAGACCATAGAGTATTTCCAGGGGAAGCAATTGAGGAAGAGACAGGGTGTATATTAAATGTGAGTGCTCAACTGAAGCAAATAGTTTGGCAATGTATACCTGATTATGAGCTTGATCAGGACTTTGGTGATGCTTATATGGAGGAGCTAGAAGAAAGTGATGATGATGATTACAGTCAAGACTATGCTTTCGGTACCACTGATCCGGATCAAGACGAAGTTGTTGCAGAATGCTCAGTTTTGAATTCGACTGCTTTAGACGCAACCAACCAGCATCATCCCAGCTCTTCTCTCGTTATAAGGGACCTGACAGAGAGTAGTATTACAAGAGCTCATCCTAGGTCTCTCTTTGCCACTCCCACGTCCAATAAATCTACACCAGTCTGTGATAGACATGACAGAGATAACCATATTAGCCCTCGTTCATTGTATTCTGTTGAAAACATAAAGAGTGATGATCATTGCACGCAGAATCCAGTCAAAAGAAAGAAGAACCAGTACCTCGCAGTCCAAGAAATTTGTGATGGCACAAGCTTGGTTGCGTATAACCTAATAGGACGCTTACTTGAGAAATTTGCAGACCAAAAAAGCCTAGAATTACAAGTAGATGAACGTTCATATCTTAGAGGAGAATCCAGGCTTCAAAAAGATGTAGAAGGTGAGGGTAAGCAGAAACCTTTTCTCCTCGTACATGTGCATTCTACTTGTGTTAATGTCTGCATATGTTTCAGTGAGTGAAGAAAACAAAGCTTCAGATGAGTCCATCACACTTTCTGCTGTCCAAGAGATATACCCTCCCTTGATCAGAGGTATACACATTATGTCCATTTGTTTTTCGTTTTGGTCATCTTGCCTTGTAAACAACAGGTGATATCGGATCTCTAATTTCCGAGTATCTCTTTTTTTCAACAGTGTATTGTTGAAATTAAAAAAGCTGATGGAATAGCTACAGTGGAATGCAGCAGGAAAGAAAGAAAAGAAGTGCTCCTCTGTCGATTACTAATTCTATTATTATTAAGATAAGAAAACATTATGTCTGTTTAATCTCGGTTCAGTTTTAAATTAATCTTTTCTAAAATTTATCAAAATATAATTATATTTTTAATAAATATTTATTTTATTTATTCGATTCAAAATATTTGAGATTTTCAGAGAAAACTGCAAAATACAATTACTATTACTAATCTCATTTTAGCGTCTTCTTAGTACTTCTTAGTACTACTAGTATATTACATGTCAGTTAGAAATAAGTCATAAGCACACATTAAAATCGTCTATGTAATATGTTTTTCATAATTTATAATTGTATAATTACCGAGACAAATAGAAAAAAGCACACATTAACATTAACTTAATTTAGTTATGTTTAAGTTATGTTTAGTCAAGATCAGAAAGAAGTCATAAATACATATTAACATCCACTTAATCTAATTACGTGTAATCAAAACTAATTAATTAGAGGCTAAAATGAGATTTGTAAACCTGATAAAACTACAAAGACTAGAAACGGGCGGGTTACCAAAAGAGCTAAATGACAGACTTTCCCTAGTCTCTGTGAGATTTGATGTTTCTCCGTTATTAATATCACTGTATGATCCATCATAAACGAAGAAACTGATGTAAAGAAAGTGTAACTCTGCAGTGACTTAGACATAGACATAGAGATAGAGATATTAATGTATGTGTGTATCATCATCATAGCAATTATTCAGAAAAAATAAATCATAACACAAGTTTAGATTCAAAAAGAAAAAACAGAAAGGCTTTCATCATCAAAGGTGTTTTTATTTGTCTCAATGGTCAGGATTGAATTTGACAGATTCCTTGTAGATAAGCTCCTTTATGTGTTCTTCCGTGCATGAAGGATGCTCGAAGTCAAAGCTGAATGGAGTCGGACACACTGGTTCTTTGGCCAAATCGTGGTGCGATGATAGGTAAGCATGGGCAAGAGCTTCATCCACTACACACACAACACAAGCAGCAGCAAAATATTGAGATAAGCCTAAAGGAAACTGCAAACAAAAAAAAACCTCATGAATGTTTTGTGTTGTTACCTGAGATGCGCTGGTTTGGATCAAAGACAAGCATTCTCTCCAGTAAATCGATAGCAGAAGGAGGCATTTTCCGGAATCTAGCAGAAAACTGTTGTTTCGGGTATCGAGGAAGTTGCCTCACGTATCTTCTTGCATTGTCACTGCGAAGGAAACCGAGACTGGAGTTGTCCGGAGAGCCTACAAGCTGTATATTCAACAAGTGAGGTAAGTGAAGGTTTTTTCAGACAAGGTTAAAAACTGATGCTTCTTTTACCTCCGTGATTAGCCTAAGCTGATGAACATAATCTTTGCCAGGAAACAAGGGCTGTCCCGTCATCATCTCACCGAGTATGCAACCAACAGACCAAATATCAATAGCTGCGGTGTACTCTGAGCAGTTAAGAAGCAATTCAGGAGCTCTGTACCAACGAGTAACAACATATTCAGTCATGAAGTCTGTGTCTGATGTTGTTCTGGCAAGCCCAAAATCACCAATCTTTAGCTCGTGTTTGGAGTTAAGCAGCACGTTGCTTGGCCTTAGATCACGATGTAATATGTTGGCCGAGTGCACATACTTGAGCCCTCTTAAGAGCTGGTACACAAAAAACTGTAAACAAGAAGATATATAAGTTAATAAAGATGAGATCAGAGACTTCCATAAGATCAGATCAGACTTACGCGACACTGATCATGGCTTAAGGTTTGGTTAGAACGGAGGACTCGCTGAAGATCAGTGTCCATTAGCTCATAGACAATGTAGACATCGTTGAAGATATCTCGTTGCGGTGGTCTTACAATATCTTTGATGGCTATGACCTGAAGAATCAAACCAAGGCTTGTAGATCAGAGAGTTAAAGAGAGGAAACATAGTATATGAGAAATGATGGTTAAGGTTTTACGTTCTCATGATCCATATGCCTTAGAAGCTTGATCTCACGTAGAGCTCTCTTAGCATCGATAATATTATCAAAAGCATTACCAATCTTCTTAATAGCCACTTTCTCTCCAGACACTGAGTTCACCGCAGCACTGATATTCAAAAGATGAATTAAGGCTTTGATGATTGATCATAAGAAGAATCATAAAAACTTACCAGACAATACCACAAGCGCCTCTACCAATGGGACGGATAGGAGGGACATACTTTCTTGAAACTTCAAAGAGCTGACCATAAACGTTGTACTGAATATAGCGGCCTCCATGTGTAGGTACAACTTTGATGCAATGATCAGTAGAACCAGAGCTTGATTCTCCAGACATGATGCAATGAATCAGAGAGAGAGAGAGATAGAGATAGACCAAGAAGAAGGGGCGTTGTTGAAGTTTAAGGGCTCTCTTGAAGACACTAAAACCATGTGAATAGAAAGAAGCTTTTCTCAACTGTAAAAGATCTCTCAAGTGACCCGTGATTCTAAAGAACATACGTGTATGGTCACGAGAAGTAGAGTCACTACTTAGCTCAATATTGCAAATTTCATTTGTTACTACTAATTGCACACATCTATAAAGTATTAAATATCTTTATTAAGAACAAGTCAAACATTACTTTTATATATTTTGTATTTGATTTCAATCAGTACAAACAAGACCAACACACTTAAACAAAAAGAGACAAGCTCAACAGATGCACACTTTCAGAGACCTAGACTCTGCCTTTCTATAAGGCTCACACTTGTTGTTTACCTCATAGTCTTTACTCCGCATCTTCTCCAACTGCATTGCCAGAGATTGAGTCACTTGACCTAAGATTACAGAGCAACACATCTCGTCCACTTAAAGTCATTTTGAAGAAACTGTCAACTTCCTCTAGTAACTGATCTAATCCTTGAGACAGTTTCTCAGCTTGTATCCCCAGTTCCATTGCATACTCCTTAAAATTTTCAACTTCCATAGGATCAACACCATCTTGAATCATCGGATATAGCTTCTCAACACTAGCATCTACGCTCTCAAGCTCTTTGAGAATCGTACTTCTACCTGAAGACAACATGTCTCTGATCTCAGCGTTTACAACACTCTGCATATCAGTGAAAACCTTTGCCCACAATGGTTTATCAGAGACAGGTAAGTCGAAAAGATCGTTGGTGGAATCAGACCAGGCAGCGGTAAATACACTGCAGATATAAACCGTTTGAACCTTCACACCGTAAAAAGCTCTCATAAGAACCTTTCCTTTAGGAGAGTTCTTAACCTTAGGCAAGGTAAGAGTCTTAACAAGAGAGTCTAGAACCGCACGGCAGTTTTCAATTCTAGCGTTGTTTGCACTAACATGTTGCCTCCAGCTATCAAGAGAAGACCGAGCCTGGAGATACTTCTCGCCAGAATCAGACTTTAAGTTGTGAAGCACACACTTGAGGTAGAGATCTCCCTGGTTAAGACGTGTGAGCTCTGAGCTAAACGCGTTGCAGAGATCTAGTAATTTGACGCTTATGTCGAGGTAAACATCAACCCATTTCTCTTCCCAGTCAGAGACAGGAAGCTGGAGATCAGTGATGAGTGTGTTTATGTTTTTATGAGTCTCGCAGAGTGACTCCATAGCTAGCTTCATCCAGGATAAAGTGAGGATGTCGTCTTTGGTCTTAGGCATAAGTTTCTTGAGCCTCTCTGCTAAAAGTAACTCAAAGCCGTTCAATAGAGAGAGTAGCCACGGTGATAAATCTGAGCCCTTGGGGGATAGCATACGAAAGGGGTTTCCAAATGGGAAAAAACCTCGCGGTGGATCTTGTGCTCTGCTCATTTTACTAGACACTGAAAAACAAAGAGGTTAAATATTATAAGTATCATGTTGAGTTTGATATTATCAATTCAACGTATCTTAAGGGTTCTTCTTGCTCCATAAAGGGGTTAATAGAGAGGAGTAATCCCAACCAAAAAGTCTAAAAGAGCTGACAAATTTTGAGATCTTGAATCAAAAACTAAACTTGTGGTTTTATTATTACTGTAAGCATCATGTTGAATTGACTAACTAGCTAATAAGCCAATTTGATTTCATCAATACAAGGATTATGATGTGTTCGTCTTGCTACAGAGGGGTTGTAAGAACAATTCAAACCTTAACGTATAAAAAAAGCTGACAACTTTTGAAGATCTTAAATCAAAAACTAAACTTTCAATTTTATTATAATTATTATGAGAAACCCACATGGAAATTGATATAATTCTTAATCTATGGCCAGAGCTCACAATTAGGGCGAAAAGTTTCAATCTTTACAGATTCGAAGAACCCTAGAAACTAATTATCCACACAAAAATCTACATCGAGCAGCAAACTCTCAACCCTAAAACAAAAACAAAATGCAGTATTCTAAATCCAGAAGAACACGCATCTAAAAGATAACTCAAGTTCCAGGAAACTTACCGATTCAAGTTGCTGGAAATAAAGAAATTGCTAGGAAAGTGTCTTGGAAATGATCTTTCTAATGCTTCTTCAAATATTTTAGCAGGTGAGAAAAGCTTATGGCGGAGGTCCGACGTCAGTTTATAAGGATAGAGTCAGTCACAGCCCTGTCACTAACGATAACTTACAGGTGTACGATTCTGAATGGTGGTTACGTTCGATTTTCTCACAGCTCCTCTATACATGGAATTAGAAAAATTCTGATGACAATTGGACGGCTAATAAATAATCTTTATCGAAAGGCCAGAACGAGACGGTTTCGTGGGATTATAGAAAAACTCATTAGCGTTAAGTCTGATTATTTTAATCATAAAACCAAATCTAACGGCTAAAGTTATTGATTATACAATATCACGTTCCCCGGACTCCTTTTTTTTGATTAATTATACAAAATAGTAAATTTTAAAGATGTTTCTCGAAACTAATTTTCAGGTTCACGTTATTTTTACAGGGTTGCCTAAAAAATGTGAGGCTCACTAGAAAACTAATAAATAATACTAATCAATACCATTAAAACAGAAACATTTTACTTAATAAAATTTTTATGTTTTTCAATTATACCTTTAATGATATGAACAAAATTTTTATTTTTATTAATGATAATATGATCTTTTTTTTTTGGGCCTAAAAATTATATGCTAATGGGTTTCATTAGTGGGATGATTCTCTTCCAAATTTATAAAAAAACTTGCAAAACTTTTTTCTTTTGTGAATCAGACGAGTCAATTTTTGAGTAGAAAAAATGACTTAACCCGTTGCAGGTCGGACTAAGCGATTGAAATTTTGTAACTAAATGATTTTACGAATTAATCACTAAACTAAAATAATTTAGACCATTTAATTGTTAAATATACAATATTTCTCAAATACACATCTTAGATACAACCATTGTTAACATATTTAGAAACATAAAAAAAAATTGTTTGAGACATTATAAAACCAAAGTTCTTTCATACCCGCATAATAATTTGATTTTGATTATGTAATATTTTATATCATCAAAATAAAAAACTTATTAATTTATCTTTAGATAAAATAACAAAAATAGTTTTCGCGTCTTTTAAGAGCGGGTCAAAAATCCAGTGATTTTTTAAAGGAGAATTTTAGTCAAAACATAAAGGTTTAAGGTTTAACGAAATCATATTATTATTGCGTAAATGGGGCCATTTTACAGCTGTAGTATTGACCCCACATCTTGACAAGGAGTGTAGGACTAGTCTTCACCAGGATGATTTATGAATTAAGCCCAAACATCAGTCCATAAAATTTGAAGAAAGTCTCTAGGTGAGACACAGGGTCTCTGCAAGCGTCGATGAAGTAATAACGGCGATGATGATGTGTCCCGGAGCCGAGTTGCAACCAAGACAAATGCTAAGATACAGTTGCTGCATTTCAAATCGCTCTTACGCGGCGAAACAACCTCCGTTGTTACTTAGGGCACAGCACCGTGTTTCCTCTGGTCGCATCACCCTTTGCACTGGTGGTGGTGTTGCCGTCTCCTCTCCCCGCCTCCGTGATCTCGTTTTCGTCGTGAACCCTCAAGGTGTGTGTTATCCTTTTACTCAGTTAGGTCTTAAAGTTATGAATTTTACATTAGAATCGATCTCGAGGTTGAACTGGGTGGTTCTCTGGAGATAGAATTTGACTTGGTTTTAGGATTGAATTAGGAGCTAATGGTAGAACAGCTAAGGAATGGAAGAAGTTGCTTCCTTACCTTCGCTCTCGTCTTGGTGAAGACTGTAATGTGAGTTTTTTTATGCCATCTCTTCCTTGATTTTTTTTTTTTTTCAGTTTTCTGCATTATCTATCGTGAGAATTGCATTTTCTGGCTCTTCAGATATGTGAGTCCTTAACATCTGGTCCTTCTCATGCCATTGACATTACAAGGGAGGTAAGTGGCAGTGAAAAGTTAATACATCGCTTTGATTGGTTATGTATTCTCTTTTCATCCTTTTGCTTTCTATCAGGCTATTAGGGATGGTGCAGATGCTGTCATTGCGGTAGGAGGTGATGGAACATTGCACGAGGTAGAAATTCAAAACCTTTGTTGCCTAGAAATTTTTAGCTCCACTCATTCTATCTTTTTTATTCACAGGTTGTTAATGGTTTCTTTTGGGAGGGGAAACCTGTTGGTAATCTCAATGGAGAAGCCAGCCATTCGGTTGCACTTGGTGTGAGTAGTTTGAACATACCTTTTTGACTTGTTTTGTGTATCTCTTCCGGAGTTGCAGCTTACAGTTTCATTCCTTTTTCGCAGCTGATTCCGTTAGGTACTGGTTCAGATTTTGCTAGAACATTTGGTTGGTTAGTTTTTGCAACTTCTGTCTCATGTGATTTGTTTCCGAAAGTTATGTTTGAGCTAATCTTAAGTATATTCTGCGTTGTATTAGGAAGAATGATCCTTGTGAAGCTGTGGAGCGCATTGCTAAAGGTATGCCATTGAATACATTCGAGGACTAAGGGCTTTATGAGTGATTCTGTCTCATATGATGATACCACCTAATCTGCATTATTCAGGGATACGATCACGGGTTGATGTTGGTGTTATCGACCAGGAAGGAAGGGATTCGCGTTACTTCATTAACGTTGCTGATGTTCATTTGTACGGATATCGTTGAGATTTTTCTGTGTCATTATCTGGTTGATTATTGGTTATAATCTCTTTTGTTGTTCATCGTTTGCAGGAGTGCAAAGGCAGGCTTTTACGCTTCCAAGTATAAGAAGTTTGGAAACTTGTGCTACGTTATTGGTGCCCTCCAAGCTTTTATGGGACATGACAACCGAGATATGAGGATCAAGGTAAACAAAACCATCTCTGCGCAATCTCTTCTTCACCATAGCAAGTAACTTGAAAGCATTTTCAGGTCAATGGAGGTGAATGGGAAACATATCCTCAAGTCACCGCTCTCTGCGTTGGAAATGCTAAATACTTTGGTGGAGGAATGAAAATCACTCCCAACGCTGTCCCTGGGAATGGAAATCTTGAGGTGTGTGCGACAATTCATTTATTATTCCATCTAAATGTGAATAGGTTTTGACCTTCTTACACGTTTCTCCAGGTTGTGGTTCTTCAAGACTTCAAATGGTACGATTTCATACTGAAACTTCATAAGCTGTACAATGGGACGCATCTCTCGGTTAACAATGTGAGCTCCAGAAGGTCAGATTTTTTTTTTTCTCGTGTCTCAACATTTACTTATGTACATGTCTTTTAGCACTTGAAAAGTCCACATCATTAAAAAGTGATTTATTCTTGTAGTGTACAAAGTATAGAAGTTGAGGAGATTACAGAGAGTGGATGCAGCATATATGTTCAGTCAGATGGAGAACATCTTGGATTTCTACCTAGAAAGTTTAAGGTTTTACCAGGTGCCATCGACATGATCAGCTGATTCACAACCTCACCTGCCAAGAAAGTGTAGGAGAAGACTCACTCACTCATACATTCAACTTCTTTTTGTTTAGTCTGTAGAGATTCTTCTTTATTTAAAGTTTGATTCAATGTTTAAACCAATCAGAGTTCACTATCCCACAAATATCTTCCGTGTCCTGGAGAATGGCTGCCTAATTGAAGTAACTGAACTAACAAGGCACAGACCTAGTTGATGATATGTTTATATGGTACCTCAAACAAAATCCGTTGTAGTCTAGCTGGTCAGGATACTCGGCTCTCACCCGAGAGACCCGGGTTCGAGTCCCGGCAACGGAGCGTTTTTTTTCGTATTTCCATAGTAGCAAACCGGATCCTGGTTCTGTAAACCAAGAATTATTCAATCTCGGGGAGAAGAAAACCCTCAAGCCGGCGTTCTGTTTCAGTCCCCAATCTTATCGACTACTTCCGTTGTCAAAGTCTGCTCCTTTATGCATTTTGTTTTTGTGCATTTTGGGGAGATAGAGAAATGCAGAGATTGAGAAGATCTCAGGTACTAGCGAGGCCTCTCTTGGAGAGCAGGCTACAAGGGTTCTGCACGAGCTCCTCCTCCTCTGAAAAGATCGTAGCTTCGGTGCTTTTTGAGAGATTGCGTGTTGTGATACCAAAACCAGATCCTTGTGTTTACGCTTTTCAGGAGTTCAAGTACAGTCTCTCTTTTTTAGTAATGTCTTCTCCCTATGTAATTTTTTATTCACTTTTTTTTTTTTTTTTGGTTTAGAAATGATGAGAAAGCGACTAGTACGTGCATGCTTTTTTTGTGCAGCTCAGTTTCGATACTTAGTCTTATTTCACTATGTTCATCTTTATTGCAGGTTCAATTGGGAACAGCAGTTTCGGCGTAGATACCCGGATGAATTCTTGGACATTGCTAAGAACAGGTAAATTCCTTTCTTGCCTACTTTTATAGATTTTGTATTACTTTGAAAGTTTCAGTGTTTTTGTTAATTCTCTTTGAGATCATCGATTCATCATCATGTGGTCCGAACGAATGCATAGATTCTCTCATACATTCATATTCCAAACTAAGTATATATAACAATAGCAAAGAACTCCAGATATGCGTTTTAGCTTGCAGCTCCTGTGAGTTACAGGTGCTTAGTTTGTTTAGTAACCTGAAGTTTTAGTACTTTCGTATCTGCTCATGGATATATATAGTGAAGGTTGTGACCGTTTCTTCTTCTGTTTAATGAAGTGTCCAATTCATCTTTGATTGATTTTTGGATGTGTGAATACAGAGCCAAGGGTGAATATCAAATGGACTACGTACCTGCTCCCAGAATTACAGAGGCTGACAAGAATAACGATAGGAAGTAAGTTGAACAACATGAACTTGTGTTTGGCTAATGATCAATTTGTTTATTCATTGAAATTACTGCAATTTCTAGGTCATTATATAGAGCTCTGGACAAGAAGTTGTATCTTCTCATCTTCGGAAAGCCATTTGGAGCTACTAGTGACAAGCCTGTATGGCATTTCCCTGAAAAAGTCTACGATTCTGAGCCAACTCTTCGTAAGGTGATGATTGTTTATCCCCCCTCTGTTTCAATCCATTACACCATCTATTTCACTCTTCTCGTGCTTATGTAAAAGTTTGGTGTTTTGCAGTGCGCGGAATCTGCTTTGAAGTCAGTGTTAGGAGACCTAACTCACACATACTTTGTTGGAAATGCTCCAATGGCTCACCTGGCTATTCAACCTACACCTGATTTGCCATCTTACAAGGTAAACCAACAAACCTCCTCTGATAGAAAGAAAAAGAATAAGGCTCCCTGATTAGTTGACGGATTCTTTGAATCATCTCTTTCTTTTGCAGAGGTTCTTCTTCAAATGCAGTGTAGTAGCAGCATCGAAGTACAACATAGGTAACTGCGAGGATTTTTTGTGGGTTACCAAAGATGAGCTTTTGGAGTTCTTCCCTGAGCAAGCTGACTTCTTCAACAAGATGATCATTAGCTGAGACTACAAACTTTTTTCCTCTTCTTTTTCTCTTTAGGAAGATAGAAAACAATAAAACATGAACCTTAAAGATAGACATGGTGTGTGAAGGAATTTTCTTGTTGACGTAAAATGGGAGTTGATCGGGAGTAGTTGAATGTAGTTGGCTTCACAATCTTTTTAGATACACATCACACTAATGTTTCTCTCATAGATGCACATAACATATGTGTGACGTGAGGAGGTTACGAGATTGTCAAGAAAACGAGTTACGAAGGAAATCCAGATTTTGTTTACATATAAACTATCATCTATTACTAAGACTACTATCTTTAGGAATTAGGAAATTAATTGATCTATTTTAGAATGAGATTCTTTCCTTTTGAAAAGAAGAAAAAAAAAACGGAAAATTAGGTTAGGCAGAGAAGTAACACCGCACACGTTATGACCATAAGATGCTTCAGACCAAAAACAAACGAATCTTTCATTTTTGGTCGGCAAACGGATCTTTCATTATAATATACATAATGGTCTTTGTATTTTATTCCTTTTCGTATAATATTTTTCTTAAAGAGTTCATTCACCACCCTTTACCACAACCTATAGAATAATGACAACGCTACTCCGGTAATTAAGGTATTAATTATCCTTTAAGTACAAACCAAATCTTATATAGAGAGAGTCAACAGAGCCATAGATATCAGATCTGATCATTTGCAAGTAAAACTAAGTTGAAAGGTTAAAAAGACAGAGAAAGAATGTCATCATCGGATCAAAAGGAAGTAGAAGAGAAAGGATCGTTGATCTCAGGCTTGTTGGATAAAGCCAAAGGTTTCTTTGCTGAGAAGCTTGCCAACATTCCGACGCCGGAAGCCACCGTGGACGACGTAGACTTCAAAGGTGTGACTCGTGAAGGAGTTGATTACCATGCCAAGGTCTCCGTCAAGAACCCTTACCCTCAAGCCATCCCTATTTGTCAGATCTCTTACATCCTCAAGAGTGACACAAGGTTACCTCTTCTTTATCTCTTCTTTCTATGTGACGTCACGCACACGTCATGCTTATTAGTAGTTTTTTTTTTATGGTTTCGCGTAGGATGATAGCGTCTGGCACAATACCGGATCCGGGTTCGTTGATTGCGAACGGGTCGACGGTTCTTGATGTACCGGTTAAGGTGCCTTATAGCATAGCGATAAGTCTGATGAAGGACATGTGTTTGGACTGGGACATTGACTATCAACTCGATATTGGACTGACCATCGACATTCCTGTTGTTGGTGACATTACCATCCCTGTCTCTACTCAGGGTGAGATCAAGCTTCCTTCCCTCCGCGACTTGCTTACCTCTAATACTCAATAATTACAATCCGTAAAACAATATAGATGATCGTCGGATGTTTCAGTTGTGGACTCTTGTTTTCTTTGGCTTTGTTGTTCGATTAATAAGGACTTTTATATTGGTTCTCTCTATGTGTTCATTTGAACATTTTGTTGGTAAGAATAAAAACTACAAGACGAGACTGGTCATATTGGAAGATCGTTTATTGTCATCTTATAAGTATACAACTATAACTATAATCCAAAAGTAAACGTGTGAAGTTACACTCGGGTTTAGCGTTATGTAATTGTAAGTGTAAAGATAACACCGAAATAGTAATGCAGAAAGTAGACAATATGCAACTACAATCAACACCAGTGCTTTATTAGAAATCGGCTTTAGACAATCTACTATAAGATTTGCTTATCAGTTTTATACAATTTGTTAATACCCTAACAGCTGCTATTGAAGGATTCCTAATCTACTCAATTTTATCTCTCTTTCGTTAAGTAATTCAGCCACTGCTTCAGCACGACCCCATAACACTTCCAAGAACTTTTTTTTTTCTTTATAAGATCAGCTTACGTGTCTTTGTCTCTCTACAGACAACCCATAGTTATCTTATAGTTATTCTCCACGTTTTCGAAACCTTAGTCTCCAAGAAACACAATATGGACATCTTCCACAACATTAAGTGTAATTTTCCTTTTCTTGGAATGCACTTATTCCTCTTCCCTTAAGTTATAAAACTTGATTCCCAAGTTTATTCCTCTTACCTTTTCTCCAAGATACACCCTTGCTCTCCAAGTCTATACGAATCCAGCTCAGCATCTTGACTCCACATGGTTTTCACCACTCAACACGACGTCTGCTTCATCAACTACGTTAGCGACTACTTCAGGGCGGACATCTTACATCAACAATCTCCCCCTTTTAGCTTTGTGTGCCGATCAAGCACAACATTCTTCTGGTTCAACAACCATGTTGCCCATCTGGAAACTTCCATGTTAATTGTACTTTTCTCCCCCACGAGATGTGCACCACAGCATACTTTTCTCCCCCATGAGATAAGCACCATCTACTTCAGGACGTCCATCACCATGCTCTTCTCCCCCATGAGATATGCACTCCTTGGACCAGAACGTCACCACTTCCCCCCTGCTTGATTGCATACTAAGCTAAAACACAGATGCTTAGATGTCAAGCCTTACATACCCACCGGTCTGTTTCTTCATGTATAATCATGACACAGCCCCTGCTGCAGCGGAATAACAAGTATTACATCATGATCTGACGCACCTGTCGAACTAACTTTCGACCCACTTCTGTTGAGGACTTGGCTTCCTTCATGTTCCTCTCTTTGACCATGAGCCTCTCCTCATCTACACCGAGTGCCCTGTGCACTCGTTGCTATTGTCTTGGAGTGATTTCACTATCACCCTCTTGAAGATCATCTCACATCACTTCCTAACGTACTTCGATCTCTTTCCCTGTTGAAACACAAACAACTTCGTGTCTTGGCTCTAGACTTGATGCTTCTTGATCAACCTCAAGATCACTCTCACTAGAGCTGCACCCTTCTTTTGATGTCTCTTCCTTGACCTCACCAAGTAAGATACTTTTGGCTAAGAACACCTCTTCTCCCTTTTGGGTTTAGTGAACGTCTTGTTCACCCTCTTGGCCATGTTTATGCTCTTCTCACGAGCAAAACACTACATCTTCTTGTGTCCAACCTTTCCACAGAACCAACAACACATCCGATGTTGTTTCTTCTTGGGCCTGACACAGTTGCTGATGCACCGATCAGTCTCCTTCCTTGTACCAGATGCACAACCATGCTTCAGATACTCCTGTCTGACCTTCATGTTGGTGAACTGATGTACTCCCTTCGGCTTGTTACTCACAGCTACACGCTGTAGAACTTCTTGCCGTACTACTTGTCGTACGTCCTGACGCACTTCCTGACAAGCTTCTTTGGTTCCACTTTTTGATGTGCTCCCGTGCACAAAATGTGACAGCCCCTTCTGCTGTACTCCAGTACTCTCAGCTCCTCGGTATTCCAGTCCCCAATTCACCTTGGCTGGTTATTCCATTGAGAGTATCTTATCCAACTCTTTGGACCCACTATTGAGCATTCTGATCTGTTTGTGATTCTCAGGCAAATCACGTTCTAGCTTTCTTGCTCTCTTCTTCACCAGTAGCAACTTCTCTCGGCTTGCTATTTTTCTGCTCAAGAAACTCATTCTTCTTTTTTACAACCGTAAGTTCTTCACGAAGTTCTTCAAGCAACTCGTTTTGCTTCTGAGCCACATTCTGCAATCTCAGATTCTTATCCTTGACCCTCATCATCTGTACTGCGATCTGAATCCGAGGATTCACTAGCTTCCTTCTTGTGTGCACCAAATGCAACCATATTCTTCAACACCTCTTAATCTTCTTCAGACTCTGAATCATCAGACGACTGTACTCCTTTTCCCTTCTTTGAGTTTGGACTTCGCACCTTGTGTGTCCAACACCTCTGTACTCTGAACACTTAAGTTTCTTTCGTTGTGCCATAGGACAGTCATCCCTCACATGACCAAATCCTTCACGCTCGTAGTACTTGATAGCTTCTCTTCTTCTACCAATGCCACAATCACTTCCTTGACTACCATACTGATTTCTCTCACCAGAGTGATTCGTCCTACCAAAATACCTGATAATCATACCAATATCATCTTTAATCTTTTGAAGTCTATCAGCATCTTTGCCAGCTACAAGCGCTATACTTCTGGGCACACTGCTTAATGTAGAGAATGAACTACGGTTTGTCTCTATCTCTTGTGCCTTCAGCATACCTGCTTATCAAACTTGAGCTCATCCATGTTTGTAGTCATTTGCAAGACTGCCTTGTGAGCTTCAAACTTCCTTGGAAGACAGCGTAGTAACTTCTTTACCAGCTTCTTCTCCTTGTACTTCTTCCCAAGTATAAATGCTTTATGCGCCATAGCACTGAGTTTGACACTAAAGCTCGCCACATAATCAACATCAGACCATCTGAGATTCTAAAACTGCGACCCAAGATGATCTAGACGTGTCCTCTTGACACTTTCATCTCCCTCAAACGAATTCAGCAGGATCTCCCATGCCGCTTTAGCTGAAGTACTCCCCTAAATCAGCTGGAACTGCCCTGCTTCAATGGCTCCAAAAATCACTAACAACGCATTTGCATTAAATTTTGATGCATTGCGTTCTGCCTCTGACCAATATTCTTTTGGCTTGGGATTCTTCCCATCTTCTGTGGTTATTGTAGGCTCCTCCCAACCAATTTCCATAGCTGTCCATGCTTCTTCATTGATTCCTCGAATCATCTGCTTCATGTGAGCTTTCCAATGACCATACTGGTCCGCATTCAACATGATTTCCTTTTGCCTCGTAACAATCGTGTCCATCTTCACCTTCATGATTACACCGATAACTTAGGTGCCCCGCTCTGATACCACTTGTACGTGTAAAGATGACACCACAATAGTAATGCAGAAAGTAAATCAGAGACAATATGCAAGTACAAGCAACACTTATGCTTTATTAGAAATCGCCTTTAAACAATCTATTACAAGACTTGTTTATTAGATTCACATAGCATGTTAACACCCTAACAGCTGCTAATAAAAGATTCATAATCTACCCAAATTTTTCTCTCTTCCGTCAAGTAATTCAGCACGACCCCATAACACTTCCAAGAGTTTCTTTTTTTTCTCTATAAGACCAACCTCTGTGTTTTTGTCTCTTTACAGACAACCCCATAGCTATCTTATAGTTATTCTCCACGTTCCCGAAATCCTAGTCCCCAAGGAACACAATATGGACATCTTCCATAACATTAAGTGCAACTTTCCTTTTCTTGGAATGCACTTATTCCTCTTCTCTTAAGTCATAAACTTGCTGTCAAAGTTTATTCTTTTTGTCTTTTCTCTAAAATACACCCTTTCTCTCTAAGTATACACGAATCCAGCTCAGCATCTTGACTCCACATGGTTTTCACCACTCAACACGACGTCTGCTTCAGCAAATACATCAGCAACTACTTCAGGGCGGACATCTTACATCAACAATAACATCATTTGCAATCTTTGGAATTTTAAAAAGTCAAACCCATATTCAGTTCCTTTTAACTAAGTTCAAGATGTCTTCCTTACAGGTTTGGAGTAAATATGACGTTTGTGTTATATATATACTCTTTCTATTTCTAAAAGATAAATATTTTGTATATTTACGCATATTAGAAAAAACACACTAAAATTTGATGATAAATATATTATTATGTAAAAAGAATATCTAATAATTTTCAGTCAATAATAACTCAATCAAAACAAGTGATTTTTTAATAAAAGTTTACTATTTTAACTCATAAAAATATATAAAATATGTTGTAAGTATATCTTTTAAAAATAAACGCTTTTGTAAAATATTTTATGTGTTTAGAACGTGGAGGCTGCATCGCATGATTAATGTTATAAAACATTACATAAATTAAAAACACAATAGAAGTAAGAAAAAAATTCATGAGTTGGGCCACGTAATTAATAATATCAAAACAAAGAGCCTAATTCATAAATGCAAATTTCAGTTTTCAAACAATTCTAGTAAATGCGTCCGCTGCAATTCCCACCAACCTATCATCTCTTCTTCCACTAACCAATAAATTCATCAAAATGATGTTCTAATATTTAAATTACTAGGTATTTTGCCCGCACTTGCGAGATTAATAATTTTACTAATATCTATAAATAAATATATAATCAAGTTATGTAAGTTATAATAAATTATTTTTCATAGACTTAAAATATTTAATATAAACTAAACAAATTCTTTTTATTTATAAAATTCTCATCATCATATAAATAATTTTCATTACACAACTTATATTTGAAAATACTCATAAACTTGAAACATTTAGTAATAAATTAATATCGTTTTTATACATAACAAAAAAAATATAAAATATTATGTTTAATAATGTTTTGGATAACACAATATAAATTATCTATACATAAATTCTTTACAAATTGATTTTTCATAATTAACTATATATTAACAAATAAAATTATTTTTTTCAACGTTAATAAAGACTTTATAACACAATATAAAAAAGTTAGATAAAGATAATTATCAAATTCATGAGATTCATTTTTTAATTTAGAATTAATTATATGTTAGCAAATATAATTATTTTTCAAGGTTGATAAAGTCTTTATCACATAATATAAAAAAAAAAAATAAGGATAATTATCAAATAAATGAAATTCGATTTTAATTTATAATTAATTATATATTAACTAATATAATTATTTTCAAGCATATTAACTAATATAATTATTTTTCAAGGTTAATAAAAATTTTATAACCCAATATAAAATAGTTTTAGATAAAGATAAATCTAAAATCGTTGAAATTCATTTTTTATTTATGTTTAATTATATTAAATTTTTAATTATTCATTAAGAGTATAAACGATATTAACCGTTCTAACTTTCAACGTGAAAGTTTTCTTGCAAAAAATCATTCACAAATAATAGTATAGATTACCTAAATCACAGAAAGTTACAAATTAATCAGCAAACTCACTTAAATTTTATAATTTAAAATATATTTTTGAGATAACAATCTAATACAAAAGAATCAACATATTTTCTAAAACTAATACTATTAACATAAATTATTTTTATTTTATTTTATAATAAATTATTAAAATATGAAAATAAGCAAAATAACCTAAAATCATGGAAAAGTTGATAACTAAGCAAATTTTTACTTCTAAAATAATAATTGAATAATATATTTTTTTAAGATAACAATCTAATACAAAAGAATTAAACATATTTTCTAAAAATATAATATTATTAACATAAATTCATTTTTATTATATAATAAATTATTAAAACATGAAAATAAGTAAAATAAACTAAAATCATAGAAAAGTTGACAACTAAGCAAATTTACTTATCAAATAATGTTATAGATTATTTTTTCCATTACTCTCTCCGTCTTCTCACACATGGATCCAGTTTTCTTCTTAGCCATCATATATGTCAACCGCCTCCTACCTCTCCCACCCTCATCTTCCGCCGTCGCCGCCACACGACTCCAACCACCCCCACTTCACAACTCTAGGGTTTGGCTACACCATAGCCATAGCTCTCGGTTTCCTCATCCTCATTTCCATCGCCCTTCTATACTCGTATCTGTTGCCGCGACTCTCGCCGCCGCACAACCGCCGTTGAATCCACCGAAGAACCTGGAAGAAGCGTAAACCTCCCTCGCATGATCTTTGTATCTGAAGAAGATCTCGAAGCTGGTGGCGTCATCGTGGGACTCGACCAAGCCATCATAAACTCTTACCCTAAGTTTCACTTCTCCAAAGAACATCCTCCGCGTCTTCCGATGGTTTAGGCGGCGGAGGAGATACGTCGTGTTCGATATGTCTATGTGAGTATAGAGAAGCAGAGATGTTGACGATGATGCCAGAGGGTAACCACTACTTCCATTTATGTTGTCTTGACGCGTGGCTTAGACTCAACGGTTCTTGTCCTATTTGTCGGAACTCTCCGCTTCCGACGCCTATGTCTACACCACTTTCAACACCTTTGTCGGAAGTTGTGCCGCTCTCCCAGTATGCCGCTGATCGGAGGAGAGCAAGAAGATGAGATATTTTTACAAAGATCCATTCGCCTAATAAATTAGGGTTATATTATTTAATTATTTTTAGCTCCGTTCATTACAAACATTATTGATTTATAATTTTATAATTAAAATTCTGTTCAAAAGTGGTGTTTTCCATTAATATCATCGAAATGAAATACAATCTGAACGATTTGATTCACATATTTTATCATTTTCTTTATTGATGTGTTTATTTTTGTTTTCCCTATCGATTATGAACATTTGAAAAACAAACACGCAGTCGCATATGAACATGGATAAAAAGGCGTTTGTGTTTGAATTTGAACAGTGTAATGATACGAGTTTGGTGTCAAAAGTGTAAGAGTATCATTTAACTCCATTTCAGTTTCTTAATAATTTGTTTAATAATAAAAATTAGTTAAATTTTTAGTTAAGAAACTCCTAGTATTTGTGTTTTATTGGGAGTTTCTTAATTAAAATCTATTTTATAAAGAAGAGCGTCTCTCCTCCTGAGAGTGTCCACGTCGGATGCCAGCCTGGAAAGGCCACGTAGGACAAAGATAAGTACTTCCATGCGATTAAGACACGTGTTCAACTAAACTAATCTGTGTGTTTCGTCTTGGGCCCTTTCTTTTGATCTGTAGGCTTGAAAGCGTATCCGGCTCGATAGGTCTGAGTTCTGCTAACCCTAATACGGCTGCAGAGAAGAACGAACGTCGTCCCTCCTCTTCTTGCGACGACTTACTTTGCGATTCTTATCTTCTCAAACGGCCTGCATAAGGGATTCGTGATTAAGAGGGTTTCTATCAAGTCGAGGTCTAGGTGTACGATGCTCTGTTTTGCTCGATTGAGATACTCCTCTTATTGATCCATATACTTCTCTCCGGAGTATGTCTTCTTCTTCCTTGGCTTAAAGTTTCTATTTTATTGATGGACTGAGTGATTTAGACTTAGTGTTCGTTGGTATAACAGATTTGTTCACTCGGGCTAAACAAGTCAAGCGAATTAAGATCAATGATCAACATAGGTAACGCTTTTTACTGTTTCTTGCAATTTGAGTAGTATCTTTTGTTTAAGGGGTAGAATATTGCCTTAGCTAGCTTCTTTCTAGGTTTAGTTTCATAGATGCTATTGTGATCTTATGGTGCTGTTGTTTGGTGAGAGAATTGAAATTCTTACATGTGCTTTGGCTTAGATAATTACGACGGGAGCTTTCTAGCTATATATATATTTATATTTATATCGTTGAGTTATGTTTTCGTGAAACATCTTGCAGTCAAAGAACTGTCACTACTGCACTGTGGTGAAACTTTGTTGTGTTTTCTCTCAAATTAGGGGTTTGGTGGACAAGTTCTAGGCATGTCATTATGGCTGAAGTTGTTCACTCCGTCGCTGATTTTCCTAACGAGGTTTAGCTTTCTTTTTTCTTTTTTTTTTGGTGTGTCCAGTTTAGTATATTCATCAACTCATACATGTGAATGTTGTAGGCTCTTCTTGCTTATGGGCTCAATAGCTCAAGGCGTGCACCAGACACACCTCATCCGTGAGACTTCTTTGATCAACTCTTATGTTAGTCGAATATAAGAGCTTTCTTTTGTTTGAAAAATGCTTAGACCAAAAAAATGTTGTTTCTTGGCTCAAGTATGGCTACTCAAAGGAAAGGTTTCTATGGTCTTCGATATCTGCTGTTGGCATATTTTGCCTTGGGTTTGGTTCTACCATAGTTTACGGAGTACAGAACTTGTGGACTTTTGAGGTAATTGGCTTGGACATTATCTGCTATTTGATCTTTGGGTTATTAGATAATTTTTGTATTTTTCGTTGGTTGTATATGCTTGATGTTCATCAATATTGATAATATTTCTCGGCCACCTCCAAATATGGAATATGCTGTTGTGGTAATTGTTGGCTCTTTTTAATTTAAGGTAATAACTTCTGCTTAATCTTGCTATGCTTCAAGCTTACATTCTCAAGGTTAATAATCCTTTATGTCTTAAAGGTGCTTCACTTACCGTTGATATTCAATCTGTCAAAAAAGGAGCTGCACAAGAAGGCATGACCATAAGAGATTATATTTGACGTGGCCATGATCCTATACTTCTGTTGCTGTTATGACCGAGGTATTAGTTTACTATTCTTGAAACAGTTTTTCCACCCTCTGCTAAATTGTTTTATGATCATAATTGTTGTAAATGCACATGGTGGCACTGCAGTGGCAGTTTTGGCAATTGCCGCGGCTTCTCTGGTTGCTGTTAAGATGACAGGAAATGTTATTTATGTTCCTATAGGATTGTTGTTGGAAACTTACTTGGAATGGTACGTTTACGAGCTCTACTTAATTTGTAATCCTACTTCATTGTATTAAATTTTCTAAGACCAAAGAGTATGGATTTTACTAGGTGGCTATACTTCTCATTCAACGGATCCGACATGCCTTGATTGGAAGAGCAATGGATGATCAAGACATGCGTAAAATTCTTCACTTCTTAATGAACGACTCGGTACACATTCTTCTTTTCATAAATCTTATGTTTAACGCATTTAATTAAGAAATTTTTGATGTGTAGGTTGTCTATGCTCTAAATGATTGCAAAAGTGAAGTGATTGATCCTGAATCCTTCAGATTTAAAGCTGAAATAGGTGAGTTTCTTCAACTGTTTCAAAGGATTAGTAACTAAATTTGCAGCCTTTATCTCATATTTGTCTTTCTTTAGCTGAAGATGAATAATACCATTAGTTGAATATGTGGTTAGTTACTTCAAAACTATCTGAAAAAGTGATGGTGTACTTTCTCAGTTTCGCGAGGCTGCAGAGAAAGGGAATGATTCTGCAATGCTCAATATTATGTCAAATTACGATATGCAGTGCACCAAGTTCTTTTTCTTGTGGATTTTTCTTCGAGGTTGTATATTCCAAGCTGTGTAAGCATGTTGTAGGTGAGGAAGTTGTAACAGCTTTAGGAAGTGAAGTAATCCGGTTAGAGAAACAGATCCGAGAGCTTGTCCCTGGAATCTAGCACGTTGACATTGAAGCACACAATCCCAAAGACCAATCTTTATGATCTGAAAAAGAGTTGATGTCCTTCACGGTCTGAGTTATGGATATTTCTCTTTTGGCCTAAATAATGGAAACCACAAGTATGGCTTCTTGGAGAAATAGAAAAGAGTTCATGGATTCTTCTCTATCTTTGTTTCTGATATAAGTAGAAGGCTTAAAAGTCTCATGCAAAAAAAAAAGGCTTTATGTTACGTGTAAAAACACTGAACCCCTGTTCGTTAAACGAACTCGCAGCGGCTGCGACTACAGATCAAATTTTAAAAGGAAAAAAGAGTATTCAAAAGGAAAGAGAGAAGAACACGGGAAGAAATCTGACGCAGCGTCTATGTTTTCAATTGCAGAGAGGAGAGAGAAATAAAGACAATGGTCGCTACTTTTTTTTGCGTCGGCCGCAACACCGGAAAAGCTTCATTTTTCTGACGCAGCGTCTCTATTTGTGGTTTCATTTAATCAAAGGGAACAAACTTATGAATAAATCTCAAACGCCACTGTCGAAGGCAGCGTTCATTAAACGAACAGGGGTTGAGTTGTGATTCTGATCGATATTTTTTTTCTGTACACAATTATGGTTCTGGTACTTTGTGAACGCAACAAGAGAATGAATACCATTGTCTTAAAAGTTATAGAGATTAATACAATGATCTACACAATAACATTGAAATGTAACGTCTTATAATCTTTTGGTGTCATCTATTTTGGAACGCCTAAGTTGATATACACCAGGGAAGTTGATATTGTCTTAGAGTTGACTTTGAAAAAAAAGAAACTCTTCATTCATAGCACAGCCAATGTATTAATAAAAGACTGGAAGCCCTCTGCTGAAGAAGGTTGCCAATGTGTTACCCAAATTAATCATTGTGCTCCACACGATTGTCCATCAACGCTTCATCTCCGTCATCATATTTTAGCAACACTCATCTAGCCAAGCTACTATATTAATTAAGAGCTCGAGCATATGTCACATTAGTCAACAACCTCATTTTCTTTAAAAAAAAAAAACAAATGTCTTCATTACACCCCAAGATGTTCCACACAAACATACGTTTATTGAAAGTGTCATGTATATTCTGAGGCAAGCAAGGAGTTTGCCGGTCAGAAACATCAATGCAATCTTAAAAAGTGGTGTCGCCGGGACTCCAGATACAACAGACCCGAACTTCTACAAGAACTTTAATCTCACCAGCCAATTCACCTTTTGTTTTTTTTGGTTCTTATGTTAGGAAGAAGATATGTGAAGCTACTGCATATAGTAACTTCCTCACACTTTATTAAAGGTAAACATAATGCAGTTAACACACTATTGAATTTTACCTTCGACTTTGAGACTATAGATCGCCAATTAATTACATTGAAACTGAAACAAGGTGATACACTTAAGTGTAAGTTTGTGTAAAACATAGACCGCTAATTTATTATCTATAGTACACAACATATTCTGGTAGCTTTCCAACACACACTCCTTAAAAACAAATTACGATATATACATAACCACACATGATGAATATTTACTTATTCACATAGAATCAAAATCAATACCAAACTTATCGAACTCTAAGTAATAGTACAATTAGCTATATTATAGTTATATACATCACACGATAATCATATCCTGCGCGTAGCGCATGCCGGTCAATATCAAACATTATCAATTAGTTCAAGCATTCAACACACATATTCCCTAACCAAAACCTAACTATAACAAGCAATAAAAACAAAAAGCAAGACTTGAAGAAGGGTAGAGTTTTGCAAACTTACCTCACCTGGTGAAAAAACAGTGGCCACAGTGGAGCTTGTTCTAGACAATGCGCAAAGGCAAAGCATCAAGGAAGATGTCATTCTTTGAGTCACAGCCTTTTTCAGGACCTGCAATGAAACAAAAGTTAAATCAAGTATGGTAATTTAATGAAATACACAACCATGAAACCATTTATATCAAAACATACCAGCATTCAGCCAAGAAAATTTGTGAACAACACCAAACCAAACAAACCCCCAAAAGTCTCAAATCCATCTCAAAACTCACAGAGAACAGAGAAAACATAACAAAAACTCCTTACCTTTCATCGATCTCAGCTCTCTGCAAATGAGTTAATCCTCCATGGCTGCCATGTTGAAGCAGCGATTATGAGGGATAAAACTCACTTCCTAATTTAGATCAGGTTTAGACTGGAGAAAAGATAACGTGGGCTGAATCCCGTTAGAACTTTGTAGAATGAATATAATTGTATTGAATGTTTTTGGTGAAGAATGATTACAAAGATGATTACAAAGATGATTCTGATGATTACAAAGAATTAGGAGAATGATTTGTGAACTAGAATGTGTGTAAAAATGGTTGAATGAACGAATCCAGAGAGAGACCTTCTTCTCCATCTTGCTTCTCTTTAAATAGCCTCAAGCCACGTTTGACTGATACTAACCAACCTCTGAGATTTGCTCTGTGAGTTGGGGGATTCTCAACAGTTTCCTTTTGACCGGGTCCTGCGCATCCAGCCTGAGCTACTCCTGTTAGCTCTTTGCGAATGAGGTCCGGAGCTCTTTCTCGTGACCTATTTTGTTAGCGTTTCTTCCTCAGGAAACAGCCTCCGGCTTCTTTTTAACTCTTTTCTCAAAAGATTAATTGCTAATGGGCTTATAGTGGCCCATTGTCGACTCTTATCGCTCGAGCCCATTAGTCTCAGCTAGCGGGCCATATTTGGGCCCAACAGTTGCCCCCAGCTTTCGAGATGAGACCTCTTTTCTCGGAAGCTAAAGCTCAATCGCCTGATCTCTATCTCTTTGTTGAGATAGCGATTATTTTATATTATGTCTTTGTGTTCCCAAGACTTTTGCCCAATGGGCTTTCTTTTTGTCTTTGTTAAGACTTGTGGCATGAGGATGCCTTTAAATATTTGCTTTGTTAAGATCTTCAAGCTTAAGTAGCCTGGGGAGGCTTTTAAATCCTTGTTTCGTTTTATTCCGCCTTCCACTTATAAAGATTTTAATTTGATCTTGACTGGGATCAATTTTTTTTCGCTAAGGGTTTCGTCGATGTTTTGATGAATTTTTTAGTACGGACTCGATCGTCTAAGTAGAAGTCTTTACTTCCTTGGATGAAGGATTCTGAGTCCTGTTAGTAACAGGTCCCGTAGTCGTTAGACATGAGGTCTAGGAAACTTTCGGGTGAAGGTCGGGGAGCCTGTTGATAACAGGTCCCGTAGCATTTTAGCGAGAGGTCCCGTAGTCGTTAGACATGAGGTCTAGGGAACTTTCGGGTGAAGGTCGGGGAGCCTGTTGATAACAGGTCCCGTAGCCTTTTAGCGAGAGGTCCCGAGAATGGGTTTCTGGGACCTGAATTTACTTGGGATTTCTTTTAGATCTCGAACGCTGCTAAGGGTTTTGCAACCTTAGGTTGAGGTTTTTGAGAACCTGAATTTTTTGTTTGAAGGATTTTAAGACCTTGAGTTTTGTTTAAGGTTTTAAGACCTTAGATTGAGGTTCTTTGGGAACCTGGATTTTTTTTTCGAATGATTTTAAGACCTTGAATTTTGTTAAGGGTTTTAAGACCTTAGATTGAGGCTCTTTGGGAACCTGGATTTGTTTTCGAAGGATTTTAAGACCTTTGAGGTTACTAAGGATTTTAAGACTTTAGGTTTAGGTTTGTGGAAACCTGAATTAGCTTGTTTAAAGGATTTTAAGACCTTTGAGGTTACTAAGTATTTTAAGACCTTAGGTTTAGGTTTGTGGAAACCTGAATTAGCTTGTTTAAAGGATTTTAAGATCTTTGAGGTTACTAAGGATTTTAAGACCTTAGGTTCAGGTTCACGGAGACCTGAATTTGTTTGAAGGTTTTTAAGACCTTTGGTTCAGGTTCACGAAGATCTGAGTTTGTTTGAAGGATTTTAAGACCTTTGGTTCAGGTTCACGGAGACCTGAATTTGTTTGAAGGATTTTAAGACCTTTGGTGTTGCTGAAAACTCAAGATGTTTAACGTAATTGTTTCATTGATAACTTTTATAGAATACATCGCGTTGTAGCAATCGTACAGTTGCTGTCTGGGCTATGTGTTTTTAAACATATGCCCCCTTTGGCTATGGTGAAAAGAATGCTGAAATGAGGTTGGGGCTGCACTCATGACGGAGTTGCCTACGTACCCAGTCAAGCGATCAAGCCTAACGTAGTTCAGGGAATTTAGGTACCTAATGATACTATCTCTTGAGATTCATGGCGTTCCATGATCAGATTTCAGGTAGCCAGGTTCGTACCTTCAGGAGCCTGTAAACGCCAGGTCGTACCACGTGGATGATCCGATAGGGACCTTCCCAATTGGTTCCTAGCTTCCCAGCGCGCGGCTCCTTGGTGTTATCAAAACCTTTTCTAAGTACTAGGTCACCTACAACGAATTGTCGGGGCCTGACTTTGGAGTTGTAATGTCGGGCATTGCTTGTTGATAGTTTTGAATGCGGAGCAAGGCTTGGTTTCACCGTTCCTCGAGTAAATCGAGGTTATCTAATAGGAGCTGATTGTTAGCTTCGGGATTAGACGTACATAGTTCTCGGCGGAGGCTCCCAGTGATGGTTTCGGCTGGGACGACAACCTCCATCCCGTAGGCTAAGGAGAAGGAGTTTTTTCTGTAGCCTTTCGTGGGGTGGTTCGGCATGCCCAGAGTACTTCAGGCAATCTTTCGGACCAGGAGCTTTTATTGATTCCAAGGCGTTTCTTGAGGTTTGCTAATACCGATTTATTAGCAGCCTCCGCCTGGCCGTTTCCCTGAGGGTATCGAGGTGTCGACATGGTGAGACGAATTTTCCACTTGTCGCAAAATGCTTTGAAGTCGTTGGATATGAATTCTGACCCGTTATCGGTTACGATTTTGTATGGGACGCCGTGACGGCATATGATGTCTCTCCATACGAGTCGTTCGGTTTCGACTTTAGTTACCGGCTGGAGAGCTTCAGCTTCTATCCATTTTTTGAAGTA